GGAAAGAGCACAGACAAAGCCTTAGTTTGTTTATATGAAGAGATTTCTTTTATTTGTGTTATTTATTTGATTTGGGGCTTGTTTTAAAATTTCTATTTAGTTTTGTTATTTACATTTACATTATATTTAAATTTTGTTATTAAGCAAACACTTTTATCCAAAGCGACTAATAAATGAGGACAATAGAAGCAATCAAAACCAACAAAAGAGCAATAATTTACAAGTGCTATATTAGTATATTATTATAGTGTTATATTTCAGTTTCACAAAGAAACGTACAGTATTTTGTCCAAGCAATAATAAAAGGACACATTTAATTTATAATTTGTCTTAAATCTCATTTTGTTAAAAAAAATCGTGAATCGAATCGTGAAATCAAAATCGTGAATCAAATCGAATCGTGAGTTGAGTGAATCGTTACATCCCTATTTTTAGCAAATTAACATTTTAACCAAACAGTTATTGTGGCCAAGTAAAGCCATAAACTTTAATGTGAGAAGTAAAATACACCAAGTAAACAGGAAGTTTAAAAAAGTATAGATGTTGTAAAAAAAAAAAGTATCTAAAATAGTTCTAGATAAATTATTTTTGTAAAAATAAATGTCACAAAATTTTCACCAAATAACTATATTTAATGAAATTTTTCAATAAAATATTTCATTCAATTTATATGAATCAAGTAATAATTTTTTTTTCATAAAATAATATATGCATATATGCATACATGACATATTTATTTTTAATACAATACATACATAATACATAAATGTTTTATGTATACTATACGATATTTACCTCTATGTATATATATACTTATATATTAATGATAAAATTTAAAAAACACATTAAAGGGATAGTTCACCTACAAATTCTGTCATCATTTACTCACCCTTAAGTTGTTCCAAACCTGTATGAGTTTCATTATTCTGAAAACTGTTAACACAAAAGAAGATATTTTGAAAAGTGTTGGGGAACAAACAGTTGCCGGTAGCCATTGACTTCCATAGTATGGAGGGAAAAAAATACTATAAAAGTCAACAGGGACCAAGAACTGTTTGGTTACCAACATTCTTTGAAATATCTTCTTTTGTGTTCAACAGAAGGAAGAAACTATACAGGTTTGGAACAGCATGGCTGAACTATCAATCTTTCGAGAGTTGCGCAATTTAAATCACCAACAAATTCATTGCAAATATATTGTGAATATGGACCTATGTCAGGCCGTCTTGGGCTAAACTTGTTTCCCTGTACTGTTTTATTGACAGGCTGTTAACCCTGATAACGAGTATCACTTTAAGAATCGTATGAAGGCCTGTCAGAGGAACTGGGCAGAAGTGTTTGGAGAGGACAGCATGTTCGCTGTTTCTCCCAGCTCCAGCTACCAGAAGGTACTGCAAATGTACATGTGTGGGTGCGTACGTGTGCTTTTGGCTTGACAGTTGACTTGACAGTCCTCGCTCTCAGAAAAACTGGTTTTGTAGATTTCCTCCCCCCCCCAAGAAGTGCCTTTGCACATGTGTCCACGATTAAAGGAACACTCCACTATTTTTGAAAATAGGCTAATTTTCCAAAGGATAGTGAATGAATGAGTCAGGAAGTTTATGATTAAGAAATGTTTGATGCCAACAACAATGCCTGTTAGTGTATATGAATATAGTGTATATGTAAGAAACTTGTTACAGGGGTCAAATGACACAATTTCATGTTTCCTTTCTCTTTGGAGTGTTACAAGCTGTTCGTGCATAAATAAGATACGTAAAGTCACAAATATTAAAGTCTCAAACCCAAAGAGATATTCTTTCTAAAAGTTAAAGGGGTCATATGATGCTTTTTTAAAGATCATTATTTTGTGTATTTGGTGTAACAGAATATGTTGACATGCTTTAATGTTCAAAAAACACATAATTTTTCAAATACTGTACATTATTGTAGGTCCTCTATGCCCCGCCTCTCTCAAACGCTTCGTTTTCTACAAAGTCCCTCCTTCCGACAAGCACAGTCTGATGACCCCTTTAAGACTCAGCCACGCCTTCCTAAAAACCTTCATTCAAACGCGCCCCCACAAATCTACGTCACTGTGTTGGAGGATTTGCATAACACTGTCCAAATGTTTACACAAAGAAAGCAGGCGTAACTATTATTCTCGCTGTAGTATTGTTGTTGCCGCCGCCACCACGTCGTGGAGGCGCTGTGTGTTTCCAAATAAGGTAAGGGGGGTAACATTTCTGTCACACGCTTGAGGTATTCGGCCAATCACAATGTACTGGATAGCTGGCCAATCAGAGCACACTGCGTTTTTCAGAACGATGAGCTTTGTAAAAATCGGCGCGTTTCAGAAAGGCGGTGCAGAGAGGAGCAACAATATTGTATGGTATGTTGAAAATAATGTTTTTTGAACCTTAAACCATGTAAACACATTGCATTACACCAAATACACAAAATAATGTTCTTTTTAGCATCGTCATATGACCCAGTATTGCCAAGTCCGTGGTTTTCCCGCGGAATTGGGCTACTTTAACACTGTTGCCGCGGGTTGAAGCGACTCCAATAACATGATATTTATCCCCTGGAATGTGAATTTTAGCAGGGGAACCCCGCCAAAAAACATGTATTTTGCCCCCCTGGAGCACGATTTTTAACTGGGGACTAGTGTTGTCACGGTACCAAAATTTCAGTATTCTGTACCAATACCAGTGAAAATCCACGGTTCTCGGTACCAATTTCGGTACCAAAGCAAAACACAAAAACATGCTAATTGAACAACATTTTTATTAATAACGTTAAACAAAAATTAAATGTACAAAACCAATGCCATTCTTTATACTTATTAAGATCATTGACACCAGCTAAATTATAACTTTTCAGGAAATAACAAACCTCAGCTTTTATAATAAATGTAGATAAAATTACATATATTAAGTGTATATCAAATAGATGGAAACTGTAGTATTAAAAACACTTTACAACCTGGTACCGTAACGTTTTAATTTTTTTAGTACCGACTTGGTACCGAAATACCGGGTCTTTTGACAACACTACTGGGCACCCTCGAAGCGATTGGGCGGGTTTTCTTGTGAAAACCTGGCAACCCTGATATGACCCCTTTAACGGCATAGAAATAAGGACTCATTCATGTTTTTACACCACAATGTTTAGTATATTCTCATAAAATAAAATAATTTAACTTGCAAAGAAACAACTTGCATAAATGAAAAAAAATTCTACATTGCATGAAATTTATGTTCTGTGTTCTGATTGGACCAGGAACCTCACGGCTGGCTGGTAGACTTAGTGAATCGGGTAAGAACTTAAGTAACACACACTGATAGAAGGAATTATATTATATTATATTAGACAAATGTATGTGGTGTTCAATGACTCTGAATATGTTTCTGGCTTATATCTGCAGTTTGGAGAGATGGAAGGCTTCACAGCAATTCAGTGCAAGCTCAACCAGGAAGAGATAGAGATTGGGGTAAGAATGTGCACTCTGGACGTCTTTGAATGTTACTGATGTAGAGTAGAATTGTTATTTTTATTTATGGCATATGCCCAAGGCCAATAAATATGGGAGAGTTACTGTTGATATTATTATAATAATTTTAATTATTGGCTTATCTGTGTCAGGCCTAATTTTGGTGCATCCCTTGTGAAGTGACTTGATTTTACAATTTACAATGAATGCGACAGAATTATATTATTCTTATATATTATTATAAATTACTGAGCTAAAACATTGTTTCCCGTAATTGTGATTTCTGTCTAAACACAGATGCAGCTTTTTTATTGTAGATGTAAATCTAAACTCTGCCAATGTTCTGTTATTTTCTCAAATTATTTCTTAGCAAAATAATAACCTTTTACCACACCTTAAATGCAAAAGAGATTTTGGTTGGTTGCACACTCGGTACAGGCTACAAGTTTAGTTATCTTAGATACGAGCAGGACAGGCTATCTTTGGGTTGAGGGACCTGTAAGCATAATAATGGAATTGCAGAGAAATTCATGGATAATTCATGGATAATCCATCAGAGCAAGAGAGTGAAGTAGTGGTGTCTGGATGAAGAGAGGCAGTATGTGTGAGATGCTGAGAGAGAGAGCGAGTTGAACGTGGGCAGATTCTATTATAGCATGTGTGCTAAAGAGCTCAGGATGTTTATCACCATCACAGAGAGCATCCTACTCACAGCAGACAGTGAGAAAGAGACGAGAGCAGTGGGATGAGAGAGAACATGAGATGCCACATTCATATGGCTGGAAAAAAAGAGCATTCAGGCCAGTTATTAAGATATGCACTAACAGAATTGCTTTTAAACTCTATTTCTCATCAAGCCCTTTGATGTAATGTGGTTGTCTAAAAAAATAAAAAAAATTGAATTAGTGGGATAATGGGAAAAAAATTTAACCACAGCTCTCAAACACCAACTAATGTTTTATAGGGTCAGACAAATGGATAAATAAACACATAGAAGGTAGAGAGAGATGGGATGATCAAGTTGTCAAACAACCGACAACCGAGTTGATTGTGAGTCAATTAATTAGATAAACAAGTTTATCTAGATTTATCTAGATGGTTTTTTTTTTTATCTAGATAATCTAGTAAAAAAAAATTTTTTTAATTTACAGAAATTAGTTGTGCTAATTAAAAACAAATTCTCGTTTTTTTTGTGTCATGTCGTTTTTGTTTGGTTTGGTGGTTGGTTTTTGTTTTGGTAAGTTTTGTTTAGTTTTTTGTTTGTTTGTTTTGCTTAGATTTTTTTGTTTTGTTTTTGGTGATTTTTGTTTAGTTTTTTTGTTTGTTTTGCTTAGCTCTTTTGTTTTGTTTTGTTTTTTGGCTTAGATTTTTTGTTTTGGTTTAAATTTTTCTACCATTGTTGTTGTTAATGTTTGTTTAAGAAGAAAAAACAGAAATGTCTAATCTCTTGTCTTGTCTAATGTCTATCTCAGAAATGTCTGATCTCCTCTAATCTCTTGTCTTGTCTAATGTCTATCTCAGAAATGTCTAATCTCCTCTAATCTCTTGTCTTGTCTAATCTCTATCTCAGAAATGTCTAAAAAAAAAAAACGGACAGACAAATTCTCAGAATGTTTGACGGCTTCATTATTTTTAGCAGACGAGGTGTCCGCTCCTTCTTTAGTACGAGCGTGTAAATGCTCCCCCTTGTCTTGGAGCTGTGAAGCCGCCTTGTTTTTGGTTCCGCCCGCTTTTCTTTTGAAGGTGTGCATTAGCATGATCTGGGTGCCAGGGCTGAGAGATAGAGCTGGCGACAGGGAAAAGATGCTTTGATTTAGGATTTGCATATTAATGGCCTTAACACAGGAACAGGAAGTTGGAGGCGAGCGTAGGGGGAGGAATTCTTTTCAGGGACACATACAACCTGCTGTGGCCACGTAAAGGAAACTCTGCTGGTTCATCGCCAGCTATGTTTTAATCTCAAACATAAAGGGATTTCCTGCTACAGTAACCATTTAATTTGTTGTGAGGGTAAGAGTCAATTAAAGCGAGAAAACAAGAGATGGATGCTGTCTCCTCTCCTCCACTGACTGGACTAATTCATTCACTCTCTCCAATGGATGAGAAGTCATTTGATGCTGAACAGAGGAGTGATTCATCAGTGCTGGCATCAATGTTGTGTAAATGTTGTATAAAAATCCCTGATTTTGTTTTTCACTCTTTAATCGGGTGCCTCTGTGGCGCCATTAAAGGAACAGTTTACCTAAAAATGAAAAATCTGTCATCATTTGCTCATGCTCTGACCCTCATGTCTTTCCAAACCTGTATGCTGAAATTTTAAAGAATCTTCTCATGGCTCTTTTCCATACAATGGCAGTTGATCCACTCCCGAAAGTTAGTGATACAGGTTTGAAACAACATGATGGTGAGTAATGATGACAGAATTTTCATTTTTTTTGTCAAACTGTTCCTTTAAGAGTTTGCGTACTCTTTGTTGCTGTGTCTTGTCTCCAGCTTAGAGAAACATTTTGTTTTTAGCTGGGAAAAATTGTGTATTTTTTTTATACGAGTTTGTTTTTGAGGTAACATTCATAGTAGAATGTGCATGTGTGTATGTGTGTTTCCTCAGTGTGTATCAGCTCTGGTTCAGCCGCTCGGTGTGTGTGCAGAGTACCTCAACTCCAACCTGGTGCAGGTGAGTGTTTCCGCGGTTCATCTGTTCACGTTTGGTTACCCTGGAATACTTGATTCTGATTGGTTTGAAGTTATGTGTTCAAGTCGTATTTATTTTTGTCTAGATGAACTAGTCAAAATTAGATAAGCTAGGTGTTCAAGAAGACATCAGTTTTTTAAAAACTACCCTCTCACAAATATGTCTAGTCTGGTATGAGAGATAGACAGACAGATAGATGACATTATTTTCACTTTATAAATCATCAAATCAACAAATAAACATTTCGTGTCTATTTATCTACTTATTTGGAAAGTACCGTGTTAACATCTGCTTAACTATGGGCTCTTGATCACCCTGTCTGGGTTTACTTTGGTCTTATGACCAGCTGCATTATTCAATACTTTCCTGTTACATGTAGTTGAACCTTAGATATTTTGTTTATATAATCAGATTTACCTGGTAAAGGACATAGCTTTGATATGTGTTATTGACTCATAAAGAATACATTTGTATCAACATGTTTTTTAAATTTCAAGGGCATTCTGCAATGTGACCTTCAGCTTAAAGTGGTTGGTTTTGTTGTATTTTGTAGCCCATGCTGGACCCAGTCATCCATAAGATGATAACATATGTGCAGAACCTGGAGGAGAAAGACCTGAAAGACAAGGTAAGGCACCTGCATGCATTTTGGTGAGGTAGTGTTAGAGTTTCATAACTGTAGAGCTGAAATTTGTATTTAGTTTAAATGTTGAAATATATTTAATGGAAGTATTTTACATTTTTATGTTTTAATATAAAATAGCAAACCTGTTTTAAAACATTTTTTTCACACATATTACAAACCATTTTGTACCCTCATGAATAAAAAAAAGTACATTCAGTGTTTGTTTTTTTCAGAGAGAAACCAAAAATTACATAATCCTCAGAGTGAAAATTATTTACAAAATTTAGTGTTGTTTATTTGCATAGGTTTTGCGTTTTTCATCTGGATTAAGTACCATGTTTTAAATGATTAAAATGTCATTCTGTTTTAAATTTCTGTCATGTTTGAGAGACTTTTAACTCACCCTGGTTGTTTTTATGCATGTCTCTTTCTCTCTAAAGCGTTTGGTGAGTATTCCAGAGCTCTTGTCGGCCATTAAGCTCCTCTGCATGCGTTTCCAGCGGGAGCTGGTGAACGTCGTGGATGACCTTCGGCTGGACATCCTTCTTCGAATGCTCAAGACGCCCCACTTCAGTGCCAAGATGAACTCCCTCAAAGAGGTTCAAATTCTTTTCCACATATTAGTGCTCTGGAGCTTAAAGTTCACGCCTGAGTTCTTCCCTCATGTTGATGGCTTTGTGCTCTGATAGGTCACGAAACTCATTGAGGAAAGCACAGTTTCCAAGACTGTGAAGAACGCTATTGACACAGACAGACTCCTGGACTGGCTGGTAGAAAACTCAGTACTGTCAATAGCTTTGGAAGGTAAGACAGTCCCTGATTCAGTTTAACAGTTAGTCATTTGCTTTCATATAGGTTTACCAACAGGCCATACATGGGAAATAATACAAAAAAACAGAATATCTTTTATAGAGTTGCTGTTTTTGATAATGAACATAAATTTACTTCTGCATCCTAACTCAAGCTACTGTCAAATATTATTATTAATATTGCAGCCTGCACTGCTCAACTGCGCTGAAGATATGCGTTATCAAGGTCAGGTGACACAAACCTGTTTGATGATTTGAAACAATATTACTCGTTAGAACATGCAGAAGCTAAGAAATACATTTTTCTATTAAGATATTTATTTTGTTAAGGAAAAATGACTGGAAAAGTGCAAAGAATTCAAAAGCGTGAAGTGTTTGTCATGTTCTGACTATAAAGAGTAGCTTAAAACCACAATTAACAGTCTGGTTTCTTCAAATTTCACTTAGGAACAAAAATCTGCCTTTAAACTTGAAAGAAATAAATGATGATTATCAATATTGACTGATATGAAAAATTTTATCACGATAATAATTTATCACTCAGCCCCTAGACATAATTTAGCATTGTGCATTTAAAGCAGCAGTCGACAAAACAACAACGCATGCTTAGAATCAATGTTAATTTTATGAACAAATAATGTTTGTCACAATTTTCATCCACAAAAGTTTTTCAGCGACGAAAACCAGATGATGACTAAATAAATGCCCGTTTGAATGACAAAAACTATGACAAATCTATTAATATTTTTGGATTGGAAACCAAAGGCAGTACATAAATGTGTCTTGTGTATATGGACGCTCACACTTTCACACTGAGCGAATCATCTATGTGTTAAAGTGTTCAGAAGCCAGAAGCTCAAACTGTTGCTTTGTGCTTGAAGCCTTTTCACCTCACCCACTCATTTGTGTCATCTCTTTATTCAATTGTCTTTATTCGACTCATTGTCTCTTCTCTCTTTGTTCTGTTTGCATTTCTCTTGACACTTTCTCTTTTCCCCCCTTCACTTTCTCTTTTGCTCCTCTCTTTCACTTTAATACCTCAGTTTGGTTTACTTTCTCTTTGCACTCTTCCTTTCGCTTTCTTTTAGTTTTACTTTCATTTTTCACTTTGCCTTTTTTGCTAGCTTTGTCTTTCACTTGTGCTCTCTCTCTCTTATTTTTCTAAATGGACTGTTCTTTTTTGTGTAATGAAAGAAACCATGTTTTGAATTTGAACTGTATAATAAATTTATGATGTTATTTGATGTATTTAATGTTCATAAGGATTTTTTTGGAGGGTGCCTTAGTATTGGGTTGCTGAGATTTTACAGATTAAAAAAAAAAATCAAGCTAAACTTTCGGTTTATAAAAGTACCAATTCTAAAGTTGAGGGTAATAAAGGAAAAAAATGTTTGTGATTTAAAATTTTAGTAAATGTGATGACAAGGGATGGAAAACTTTGACGTTTTTACATTAGTGGGTTTATAATGGAGCTAGTCTCTTATTTTAGTAGTATTTTTTATTGCATCCAGTGCTGTATGAGAATAATGGTTTTAGGTAACACTTTATTTTAAGGTGTCCTTGTTACACGTTACATGTTCTTACTATTGTAATAAAAATAAATTATGCATAATTACATGCAAGTAACTCAGTAATATTACTGAGTAATTTAAATGTAGAATTTAAATGTATAATTACACTGTAACAAGGACACCTTAAAATAAAGTGTAACCTGTTTGTATTAAAAATAAAATAATAATAAATAAATAAAATAAAATATTTTTTCTGTCTCTCTCTCTCTCTGTGATGTAGGAAACATTGACCAGGCCCAGTACTGTGACAGAATAAAGGGAATCATTGAGCTGTTGGGCAGTAAGCTCTCGTTGGATGAACTCTCCAAAATATGGAAAATACAGGTGAGCGGTGTCTTTAAAGATATTCTTCAAATCAGTGCTCCTTCTAAACTGCATGAATTTCTGACATTGTTTCTAAGAAATATACTGCACAGAAGGCTCTCAATGTCTATATATATTTATTTATTTATTTATATATATTTATTTATTTGTGTGTGTGTGTGTGTGTGTGTATATATATATATATATATATATATAAAGGAGGGCAACGATTAGTAGGCTTATGTAGGTCATCTGTTGGTTTTATGTTTCAGTGGCCTATTTTAGTTGTGACCGTTGCATCACAGAGATTAAGGTTGTTTACATCACACCATAGCTCAGCATGTGCTTTGGTAAATGACAATCCAGATGGCTACAAAATGTGTCAGCAACTACATATGGAGGTATAATAGCTAAACTGACACGCTCTTTCTTTTGTATATGTATAATTATCAGGCATCTTGCTCCAGGAGGAGAAGATCAACGCTGTCTTCCTACTGTATCTGATGTCCATCCCCAGCTTCTGCATCCTGGCCATAGCCGCCCTGGTTCTGGAGAACTGGGCCGCGCTGCAATCCCCTTTCCAGTATGACCACCACCTCTGGGGTTTCATCTTGCTCAGCTGCCTGGGTTCAGTGCTTTACAACCTGGCCAGCTGCTGTGTCATCACCCTGACCTCCGCTGTCACGCTGCACATCCTGGGCAACCTGAATGTGGTGGGGAACCTGCTGCTGTCCCAGAAACGACATGAGGGTGAGTAAATAATGACAGAATTTAAATTTATTGGGTGAACTATCCCTTTAATGTTATTATTTATTTATTTATTTTAATTAAATTATACTCTAAATAAGTAACTAAATCTACCAGCAGGTGGCGGTAAATGCCTTTATGAATTGTTTGAATGGCTGATTCATTCAGGAATTGAGTAAACGGCTCATTTTATGAATGGGCTTTGAATCATTGGTTCACACGATTCATTCAAACCACGGATTCATTCAGAAACTAAACACCTCTGTGTTGCTCGGTGACGCGCAACAATTCTGCTATGGCTTTAAAGGTAATATATTCTCTGCAAAATTGAGCAAAAAACAATATTGTGTTTAAAATATAACACAATATCAACTTCTTATTTACTGAACTGTTGTATAAAATCACATTTAAACTTGTGATATTCGGGACAAAATCAGCACTCATCTGATATTGCTCTCGCTGCTCGTGTGATATGGCTTATCATATGATATAAATATGAGACAAAAACTCATACAGGGGCATTTTTTGCACCAATATCTTGAATTTTAGGGCACAACTGCATTTATGGAGTTGCTGCCCTGCATCATATTTGTCAACAGTCAACTATATGAAGTGTAAGATGACGTACAGGTCTGGGGGTGGGGCCAGTGCGTTAACTGCGTTAAAATATTTTTATTGCGTTATTTTTCATAACTAATTAATATATTAGGGATGTAACGGTATTATCAATACTGTGGTATCGCGATAGCAAAACTGTCTCGATATCATCGTGGTCACATGACGATATGAAACAATAGGTCTTCCAGGCAAAAAGTGTAGTTTTGAAAAAATATTTAATAGCACTGTCAAAATTAGCGCGTTAACGCAGACTATTAATTTTTTCAGTTTAACGCATTAAAAATATTTAACGCAATTAACGCAGGGGGCAGAGCTAGGGTTGGCCACCCCACTCACAACTGCTGCCTCTGTCTCTTTTTTTTCTTGGCAAAAAGTGCATTTATTTAGTTGCAGAACGTCTTTAAGACCACATCAAACCAGAGACGTTTCAGATGTGCTCTCCAACTTCACCTCAGCATCAGGCGCGAGTCAAACGAGCGCAGAAGCGGTGCTGTTCTCGTAGCGCGTGCTCTTCAATAGCACACACATAGGCGCAGGTGCGCGCTGTAGCCTGTATCATTTCAAAACACGAATGAAACTACGTGCATGCAATGTCGTCAGTTAAGTCATGAGGATACCAAAAAGGCGATTAAAGCTGCCTTAAAACTGTGCATGCATGTAATATGTTATGAGTCACATTTAAGAACTTGTCTCTGAAATGGTTTTCAAAACTGTCCTGGAGCAGCCCAGCACTGTCTCAGTCTCACTCATCTAACACACCCAATTCAACTCGTCAGTTCATTAGTAGAGACTTTAAGACCTGAAGTGGGTCAGGAAAGGTAAAGAGATTTGAGAGAAAATACAATGCGTGTCAGATCTGCGTCACGTTCAGCAGCGGCAGCTCTTAAAGAAATAGCAGCCAAATAACCTAATAACCCGCTGCTGTTATGTTTGTTAATCAAAGAAGAAAAAAAATCTATAACTTTTATAGCTTCAAGGATTCATCTATATTTAATTTAGAATTTAGTGTTTGATAACTTTATTCAATTTCTGTATATTTCTGCTGAAGGGCACAGGTAAATATGGTTGATTATAATGGGTTTATGTGAAGATTGTTTTAAGTTCACTTAAAGGCAGAGTAAGGGATTTCTGGTAGCCAATGTTTATATTTGAAATCACCAAAACAAACACGCCCCTACCCCAAAAGGGTCTTGCCCCTATTTTGATAGCTCCGCCCCACACATACGTACGCAACCCAGGCAACGATTAGTTCTGTGAAACAAAGCAAAACCAATGTTACACCGTGTGGCCTCCGCTCCTTGAGTTCTCTCCAGCGCTGGAAAGCTGATCCGATATTTACACGGGTCCTACTTCTTGCCTTATCGTTCCGCAGACGTTTTCCTCTTTTGTTTTTTATCCGCCATCTCTATCTTTCTGTCGCTCGGCTCGGCTAATGTCCGTCCCATGCACTGAACGCGCTCTCCTCCACATCATGAGTAGACACGCCCCTTATTGCTGATTGGCTACAAGTTTGTTTTGCGATTCGGCCCGAATCAGTTTTTAAAGCGTTTTTGAAAAATCACTTACTCTGCCTTTAAATTAGAAGTAATTTTTTAAAGTCTAATAAATGTTAGCTCTCAATTATACTGTAATGTTGAATGGCTATAGTCAATGGTTAAATATTAGGGGGAAAAAACAATTATATAGAGACATTGGTATCAGTGATACTGGCCTTCAGTCATAAAAAAAGATGCCATTAAAAAAATATATAAAAATATACTGTGTTTGTTGTTTGTACATTAATTTGAAGATTGAATGTGAAATGATTGCAATATAAAAGTATATTTAAAAACTTTATTGTTAGGTGGGATTAATCGCGAATAAATGTGCAATTAATTAGTTAATTTTTTTGAATCGATTGACAGCGCTAATATTTAAACTTCTTATTCTAACATAAAAGGTCTTTAAATTTGTGGTTTGGTCCATTATGCTGTCAAACAAAATAAACCCGAAAGCACAATATGGCTTAATCCCTTCATCAAGTCTGTTTTTGCTGCGCGTTTCAAAGTGATGCGCACACATTGTTCAGGCGATCAGCTCGTGATCCGGTGTTTTCCGCGCCTCAGAACGGCTCAGTTCTCAGTGAATACAGTGAACTCGTTTATTGCATGTGCTGTGAGTTTAGCGCGTGTTTGGGAATCCAACGGCCACCAGTTATGCTTTATTTTCGTGGCAGATGATTACAGCATTTCACTAGATTTGTAGTGAAATGCATTTTTGTATGCCTGTTTTCACTGAAGCTGGAGTTTTCTTTCAAAATAAAAGCTCTACTGCCGTTTCCGTCAAAATAAGAGCTTAAAAGTGCAGTAAGAATTGCTGACAGCTAGCGGTTTAAATGGGTAACGTTACTGCAGTCCAAATTCAAAATATCTCTTTCAAGGGAAGAAATTAGGAAAGAAGCAGGACCGTGCACAGACCTTTTGAGGGGCATGTGCTGAAACTGAAAAAGGGCAAACACAAAATTATAGTCTCAAAAGCTTTAGATTTATTCACTATTAATAACCATAATAATAATATAGACCAGAGTGCAATAAAAAATATTTTTTAGCTATTCTGTTTGGTTTTACTAGTTAATTTGTATTATAGCATGTTTATGTATGTCATTGAGAAGAGGGGAAGGTAAAGCAATGAGTCAAGTATTTTTGCCAGACTATTTAGAAATATAATTTAAATAATTATGTCCAACACAATTCCAGACAGAATAGGAGATTATAAAACTATAGCCATACCGTCACTATAGAGCATATCCAACATGTATCCGCCTACCTGGCAAAAACTTGATACTGTGGAGCTGTACAAAACAGTTTGTTTTGCTGCTTGATATAAAAAAAAATGGTGTGTCTTACCATATTATTTTAATGTATTATCTTAATTATGAACACACTGGTTTGTAATGCAAACAGTTTTACCGTTTACTGCATTGTTGTTATTCTTCTCGTTATTTACCTATAGCGGCTAATGAACCGGAAGTCTCGCCCATAGGCTTACTTCAGCGTTGAAGAAAAAGGTGGATAGTTATCAGCAATCATAAATCAAAGAAATTGTTTAGAAATATGTTTTACCTAGGTGACGAGGATCACTCAGTCGCTTTGTGTCAAACTCAAATGCAGTTGCGGGGTTTTTGACCAGCGAATGTGTGCAAATGTGCATTTTGTCCGTCATTAAAACGGCGGCATCACATTGCGTTTTCATCAACAGGTTACAAAGTTTGTTGTAGCTATATGGGCTGTATGTAATAAAATTCCATTTAAATGAGTTTATATAGTTTGGTTATACATGTGCAACATGTTAACATGCATCATATTTTATGTGCAGGCTGGTCAGTCCTCCACTGTGATAGAGAACATCCACACCATCATCGCCGCTGCTGCCGTCAAGTTCAACTTTGACCAGCTCAGCCACCTCTTCGTCCTCATACAGAAGGTCTTGTCTGTCTTCCTTTGGACTCTTTCATCTTTATGAGCTGTTTCTGACTGTGCCTTGTGTGTTTTCAGAGCTGGGAGGTGGAGAGTGATCGCGTGAGACAGAAGCTTCTGAGTCTGATTGGACGGATCGGCAGGGAGGCTCGCTCCGAGGCAACCACAGGAAAGGTATGTGCCATTCATACTGTATGTATATATGAAACTGTATGTGTATTTCTGTCAACTAAAACTGAACTGAAAGTTGGGCTTTGAACCGGTCTAGCTGCTAATAAGCTACAATGCTGAAATGTGACAGCCAGTGATTGATGTAGAACTGCTGAAGCTTGTGAAAGTTTGCACTGTAATGATTTTTTTTGTTTCTGAAATAATTGGATGATTTTCAAATATTGGTCGTTGAATGATTGAGGGAAAAATGATTGCAATTAACTATTTAACCTTAAGAGATTATTTATTTGCATTAAATCATAAAATGTATAAAAAAATGCATGAGGAATATAAACATAAAATGTATATGAATCTTTAAACAAACACTGCTCAGGGTATAAATATATGAACATATTTAGAATATTAAAATACTTAATATAATATTTAAATATTCAATTCACACTATTTTTTTCAAACCCAAACCACCTCATTATTATATTAGTTAATATTAGAACAGTGATTAATGATATAATAATATTGTAATATATTACAATATTAAATAAATAAATGTTTTATGTTTATATTGCATAATTATACAATCTTAATATATTCCTTTACTTTTTCATGCCAATTGAAGGTGGTCTGGTTAAACTTTATTCAAGTTATTATTTTCTATATTTAACAGCAGATTTTAATGTGCTACTTACCATTTAATATGCTACCATCTACAATACTTTTAAAAAGATTTGGTTCAATACAATTTTTTTTTTTTTAAAGAAATAAATACTTTTATTAATGATGCATTTAATTGGTCAAAAGTGACAATTAAGTCTTTTACACTTGTTAGAATAAATTATATTTGATAGGCTATTTTTGCATTTTCAGTCCTGAACAAAAGCATATCACAGTTTCTACAAAAATATTAACCAGCACAATTGTTTTCAACATTAATAGTCATAAGAAATGTCTCTTGAGCAGCAAATCAGCATATTAGAATGATTTCTGAAGGATCATGTGACACTGAAGACTGGAGTGATGGCTGCTGAAAATTCAACTCAACTCAAGCCATCTCAGGAATAAATTACATAATTTTAAATTGTAATAATATGCACAATATGACTGTTTTTACTGTATTTTTAATCAAATAAATGCAGCCTTTGTGAGCTATAAATCTCAAATAAGAGAGAGAGTGAGAGAGATTTAGAGCATGACAAAAAAAATTTGAGACTAGACTTGTGAATTATTTTGATGTAAAATCACAGTATCTGTGTTTTTTGTGGCTTTTGTTTCAGGTGTTGGAGGTGTTGTGGGAGTTGGCGCATCTCCCCACCCTTCCTACCACTCTAGTGCAGCAGGCCCTGGAAGAACACCTCACCATCCTCAGCGACGCATACGCCGTCAAAGAAACCATCAAGAGGAACTATATCATCAAATGCATCGAGGACATCAAGAAGGTGAGCTGATATCATAATTCCCATAAACCACAATCTCCAAAGACCTGTTGCTCACTTCATCTGTAGTGTATAAACAGATATCGATAAATAACCAACATGAATATGATTCATTTTTTATGATGTCACTATTATTTGTTGTTCTGGCTTGCTTCTGGTGGTCTGAATTGGAGTGAGGGTCCCTCACTCTTACACACATCTCCTGTACTACTCCATCTGCTTTGTGCTCCTTCCTGAAGATCCATATTCAGAAGATTATGGACCATAAACACAAAATATGCACAAATACTCACACAGTAACACAATGACACACATTTTTGAGCTTCCTGGCTTCTTTTTCAGGCTAGAATCTGTGCAGCAGTCTATATTAAGAGCTGTTCTGGGAGTATAAAGGTGTTGTTCTGTCTCTGGCGCTAGATGTATATTTTTGGCAGTCTAGTTTCAGCTTGCCTCATCTCTCTCACACACACACATACATGCACACAGGCATTCACTTTGCTCAATCTTTGCGCTTCAGCCTCTGATGTGATTTGGGTGCAGCGTCTGCCGCATAAACTCTTAGTGGCGCTCACTGAATACTGAAAGTTTATGTCTTTAGATGCAAATACAGGAGGATTCAAAGTCTCCCAGCGAGACACAGGTCTCTTTTCTTACTGGCACCTGGGGCAAGAAGAAACCGAGCTCATTGGCTAAAGTAAGAGAAGACCCACCCCTTTAGTTTAACACTGACCAATCATAACTCAGCCTGAATCTCACATGAACAGAATTTGATTTGCAAACTGATGATTGCCACTTGATTCACTGGGACGGACTGTAAAGATATGTGTGATTTGCAAAGGGCACTTCTGAGGGTTTGATCTGCACATCCAAATATCTATTGGAAAAACTAATGACTTTTTGACTGTTGGCTTCAGTCTTTTGTTGGACTATTTGAAACTTTTGGAAATCAGAGACTCTAACCAATGCCTGGGTTGTTGATGGGTCAATGACGTGATGCTAATTTCTTCTTCCTGATAATTCATAAAAAATAAATTTATAATTTATTTACAAGTAAATAATGCGGTTTGCACGTATAATAACTTAAATATGCCTCTTTCTGAATTCAAATTCATTCTGATATTTTTGGGGGGCATGTAAAGTCAAAAATGTCAGACAGATACAACTGTCCTGATATCAAAATTAAGAAAAAGGCTTTATTAAAAGAAGACAGTCATATGGTGCAACCAACATACAGAGAGAAAAAAAACAATGTTTAAAAAAAAAATTTATATCATAGAGTGGACCCCAGACCCTCATGACTCAATGTCAAGAAGTCTCTCAAAATATATGATAATTTGACCATTTTATGACAAGACAAGGTTTGTTCAGGTTATAAAATGTCATGTGGTGCGACCCCTCAAAAACTTACATTTATAATTTAGTAAATGTTTTAATTTTGGAAAAAAAATTTAGTTTTTAATTTTAAGTTTAACATTTTGTTACTTTGGTTGTACCACATGACATTTTTAGAGTCATTAAATATAAACTTTTCTTGAAAATGGTATAAACGTTAATAAACCATATGTAAGTTGTGGACATATTTATACGTCATTGGCCCAGATGGAGATTACCGTATTCCATGAATGAACCATGTGTGTTATGGTTGATGTTTCTGTGTTTATATCTGTGTTTTTGTGCTTGTATTGTAGTCGTCTCAGCAGACTAACCCTCAGACGGTGTGGGTGGTTCCAGCCTTGCGGCAGCTTCACGAGATTACACGGTCTTTTATCAAACAGACCTACCAGAAACAGGACAAGGTACATGTAGACAGTGTTCAGACGAACCATCTGGCCTGTTTTTTTTTCATGCAAGTGGTGCTACATAAACTATGAACCTCATTTTTCATGCTTTAAATGGCTTTGGATTATATTTTATGTTGTATCAGAGTATAATCCAGGACCTGAAGAAGAACTTTGAGATAGTGAAGCTGATCACTGGCTCTCTGGTGTCATGTCATCGCTTGGCCGTGTCCGTCGCTGGATCCAATGGTCTTTCTGGGTCCACGCTGGTTGATGGGCGGTACTCCTATCAGGAGGTGCACTGCCACAAGTCCATTATCTCTTTGTGATACGAAGAATTTAATAATTGTTTATATTACAGCTCAGTCAAAAATCGAGTTTGCCGATAACAATTACTAAGGTGTGAAAGAAGCTTAATTTCAAATAATGTAAAGCAGTGCAAATCTAAGTTTTATTAGATAAAATATTTATAAATTAATTATTAAAAAACAGTACTATGAACCTTGACATTTTGGGTACATATTTGGAAAATAATAATAATAACAATAAAATATGGTATTACATTTTTTTTCCCTCCAGCGGTTCACAAACATGTAGCAAATAAAATATGCATTCTTTTAGTCATCTACAACATCCAAAAAAGGGCGGTCGACTTCTAGTTTCTAGTTAAGATAGTGTAAACAAGGTCTAGTAATTTCATCTGTTTTAAAGATGAATCATATTGCTGTTTGACCCAAAAATTAGCACAGTACAAAAATATATTTGTAGACTACCAAAGTGACTCATGTTTTGCCTCTCATTTGGTAAGAATGAAAAAAGAGAAGTAGGTTTTTTTAATCTAATGTTATTGTTTTTTTTGTTTTGTTTTGGGGTTTTTTTTTTTCAAATTTTTCCAGTATTTGGAGGGTCATTTGAAGTTCCTTGCATTCTTCCTGCAAGAGGCCAGTCTGTACCTGGTCTGGAATAGAGCCAAAGAGATCTGGGAATGCTTGGTGTCCGGCATGGATGTGTGCGAGCTGGATCGAGAGGTGTGGTTTTGTTTTGTTTTTCTTTTGTTTTGGTTTGGTTTGGCTTGGCTTGGCTTTGATTTTTATTTTATTTTTATTTTTTTTGCTTTGCTTCTATTGTTTGTTTGTTTGTTTGTTTTGTTTATTGGTTTGTTATTTGTTTTATTTTGTTTGTTTAGCATGTAATTATGCTGTTTAATCATGGTCCTTAAAAAGAAAAGCGGCTGAAGCCACACATGCTTTGGATTGATGTTTAAACGCCATTGTGTTTTTTGTTATTTTTACCAACTTGTTAAATGTAGTGTGTTTAATGACTTTTCAGTTCCGGGGTGTAAAAATTGGTGTTGCAAATACTCACTAACTGCTGATTTTTTTGTTATTGTGAAAAAGTATGTCGTTTTGATGGTGTTCAACTTTGCTGTAGATGTGTTTCGAATGGTTCACTAAGGGACAGCATGATCTAGAGAGTGACGTTCAACAGCAGCTCTTTAAAGAGAAGATCCTCAAGCTGGAGCCTTATGAGATCACTATGAACGGTAAAAGTTCAACCACAGAGTTCACTCACTGCTTCCACTTAAAAACCACAGTATTTCCACACTATAGCACCTTGAAGCATTGCACGTCTCCTGTACATCTGCAGGAAACCACTGCGCTTACTGTGCTAAATTTGCAAAAGAAAAAAAATGGCCTTGTTAGCACCATAGGGGGAAGTTGCATAAAGGTGTACTATGAGTGTGTGAGTTTTCTGTGGTCTTTCATCAATGTTTTACAGGGTTTAACCTCTTCAAGACCTTTTTTGAGAATGTGAACCTCAGTGACCACCGTCTCAAACGGCAGGGAACACAACTGGTATGAGATTTCTGCTTGTTCTCAGTGAAATGGGTCAGAAAGTCCCGTCTTGACAGGTGAAAACATATGATTGTCTCTCTCAGTGTGTGGAGCGATTGGATCTGGCTGGGATGGACTTCATCTGGAGGATCGCGATGGAATCTCCAGACGAGGACATTGCTAATGAAGCCATACATCTCATCATTACTTACAGCTACATTAACCTCAACCCCAAAATGAAGAAGGTAAACAGTCAAACCTTCATTTTTTGAGTCTTGCTATTCCATAATTTTGCAGTTAATTAACATTTTCTTTGTGAAATTTTTGCAGGACTCAGTATCTCTTCATAAGAAATTCATTGCTGACTGCTATAAGAGATTGGAGGTGAGTGTTACACTGTCACACTCCCGCTTCCACCCCCCTGTGATGATGATTGTGATAAAATGAATTCTTACATCACACACAGGCTGCTAGCTCTTCGCTGGGCGGCCCGACCCTCACACATGCTGTTACCCGGGCAACCAAGATGCTGACAGCCACTGCTATGCCAACGGTCGCCACATCAGTGCAATCTCCATCCAGGTATGAGGACTAGTTTTGAGGCCAGTTGAGCAGCTTTCAGATCAGTTGATGAGATCCAGCTGATGTTGTTGGCTGCATTTTCGTTGTCTTAAGTAAAGCACTTTTACATTACTTTTATTCAACTTAAACCATACCAAAGCTAGAACAGAAGGGACTATGTAAACACGTGTATCATTCGATCATTCGTTTTTTTTATTTAATATTGAAAGTAGAAAAATGAGAAAACGGCTTCTGAACGAGAATTCAGCTTAAATTTTCGTTTTTCGTTCAAGCGTAGAAAAATGAATAAACAGCTTGAATATTCGATTTCTACACGTGGGCGGGAATTAAACGCCCCTTTCTGCTGATTGGTCAGCCGAAGATCAAGCCGTGCCGTCATCAATTCTTCCGCAGTATCAGGCAGCAGAATAATTCACCAAACCCTCAGTATACCTTCAGAATGCTTGGAATATACGGTGCATAGTATTATTTTACAACAGATAGGCCTATGCATCCGCTTCAAAAAAAAAACAAAAACCCTAAAGTCACCATTCTCTGCCATTAAATTGGCAAGTGCGAGCAGGACATTTTTGTGT